GGCCGGATTGACCAATATCCCATTCTGATTAACGAGATGTCCCAGGAACTGGACCTCTCGTAACCAGAAATCACACTTGGAGAATTTGGCGTAAAGCCTCTCCGATCTCAGAACTCCGAGGATCTCCCTCAAATGCTCCTCATGCTGCTCTCTGGATCTCGAATACACCAAAATGTCATCGATGAACACGATCACCGATCGATCCAACATCGGCCTACACACCCTGTTCATGAGATCCATGAACGCTGCCGGTGCATTGGTGAGCCCGAAAGGCACCACGAACTCGTAATGCCCGTAACGAGTCCTGAACGCCGTCTTCTGGACATCCTCATCACGCACTCTCATCTGATGATATCCAGACCTCAGATCAATCTTGGAGAACCAAGACACTCCCTGCAACTGATCAAACAGATCATCAATCCTCGGCAATGGGTAACGGTTCTTGACCGTTAACTTGTTCAACTCCCGGTAATCAATGCACATCCAGTGTGAACCATCCTTTTTCTTGACAAAAAGGATCGACGCTCCCCACGGCGAGCTACTCGGTCTGATAAATCCCTTCCCCAACAACTCCTGAAGCTGTGAGGATAACTCCTGCATCTCTGGTGGCGCAAGGCGATAGGGCGCCTTGGCGATAGGCGCCGCTCCCGGAACCAAATCGATGCGAAACTCCACCTGCCTCTCGGGAGGCACACCCGGCAACTCCTCGGGGAAAACGTCCGGGAACTCACGCACTATCGGCACATCATCAATAGAACCAGGCCTCTCCGCTGCTACTCGTGTGTCCATCACGTAGGCCACAAACCCACTACAACCCTGCTGTAGATTCTGCCTCGCTCTAGCAGCTGAACAGAATGCTGACCCTGAACGGGTACCCTCGCCGTACACTGTAAGAACTCCCCCACTAGGGTCTCGTATGGTCACCAACTGTCGCTCGCAGTCGATAACCGCTCCAAACCTGCTCAACCGGTCCATGCCCACGATGACACAGACATCTCCCATCGCAATCGGGACCAAATCAATCGGAAACTCAACGCCGAAGATCTCGAGTACACATCCTCGGATCACATCCGTAGCATACACCGCTCGCTCGTCGGCTATAGAAACTCATAGAGGTCGACTCAACGCCTCTCGCTGAACACTGATGTGCTGACTAAATGCTAATGACACGAAAGATCGACTCGCACCCGAGTCGAATAACACCAACACAGGTACAGAACTCACAAGAAAAGTACCTAAGCATAACACAATATAAGCACAAAATCTCAAACTCAAAATAGGTAAGTAAAAGAATACATACCGGCCACGACATCGGGCGCTGCGCAGACCTCCTCCGCTATCAACTGGAAGGCTCTCCCGCGAGCCTTCGGTGCCTCGGCCTTCGCTGGCCGGACCTCGATAGCTCTAGCAGCAGGTATAGACCCCTGTGCTGATCCCTGTAGTAGCCGAGGGCACTCGGCCTTCCGATGGCCGGTCTGGTTGCAATGAAAGCAAACCGAGAATCCCTTGGGGCAATCCCTCGCGAAATGCCCCTCCTTCCCACACTTGTAACATACCCTAGCTCTGCACACCCCCTCGTGACTCTTGCCGCACTTCCCACAAGTGCGGCCCTTCGGACCCCCAGATCTCGAATCATTGGGCTTTGCCCGCTTGGCTGCCGGCTGCGCCTGTGCCGGTCGCCTGTCCCTCCTCAGAGACTCGGCCTCCTCCCTGACCTGAGTCTCCAGCTCAATCTCTCTCTTACGGGCATTTTCCTGAAGCTCGGCAAATGTCCGGTATGACGAGTTCGCCATGAACTCACGAACATCCCTCCTCAGTATGCTCAAGTACCGGCTCATACGTGCCTGCTCAGTCGACACGTGCTCAGGGCAAAACAACGCCCTCTCATGAAACATCCTCGTAATCATCGTCACAGACTCAGTTCCCTGCTTGAGGGATAAGAACTCCTGGGCTAGACGTTCCCTCTCCACAGGGGGAACATACTCATCTCGAAACATCGTGGTGAACCTCTCCCAGGTCACCGCAGTAAGCTCTGCCGTAGTGAAGTCTGCCGTCACAAACTTCCACCAATCCTTCGCTCCCAAGCGAAGCTGGTTAAGCGCAAATCTAACCCTCAGATGCTCCGGACACGAGCAGGTGTAGAAGCATCCCTCGATGTCAGAAATCCACCTCATCGCAGAAATCGGGTCCTGCGTCCCATCAAACTCTGGTGGCTTCGTGTTGCTGAACTCTCGGTACAGCAACGAGTCACCTCCCTGGGGCCTGGCAGCAGCGACAACTGCGGTGGCCGTAGCAACAACAACCTCAGTAAGAGCAGCGTACCGCTCATCAAAAGTCTCGATCAGCGTGGTCTTGATAGACCCGGACATCTCTGGTATCTCAGCTCGAATGGCCGCAACCACCTCCTCGTGAATCAACCTACGAATCTCCTCATCGCTGGTACCACTGGTACCACTGCCTCTTGGGTGGTGGCGCGTCCCAACCATGATGTCTCTGAAATACAACACAAAAGAATCAGAGACTCGTTCGAGTATACTCGCACTCGATACTCAACCCTACTTGTTCTTTAGTACCCTGAGGATTCTTACTTGGACTGCTCACTGATCCGGTGTTTCCAGTAGTACGGGCCTTTATACTACCTTCCACAACGCATCGGTATTCACCCTAAGTCCTCCTCCTAGGATCCCAGATCACAAGTACTCTATATCTCACTAAACTCAGGCTACTCTCTGGTAGACCACTCATAAGTTCCTCGCTGCTACCTACTTACTCTCGAAGTATCTCATAGTAGCAGTAACTCCTAGGCTAAGACATCACAAATCAGGCCCAATCTAGTCCTAACCATGAATACCTAGCCTACTCTAGCATGCATAACATATCACATAATATATCATAACACATAATGTAAGGGTATTTTGGGAAATCACCGTTCGGGCGCTGGCTGATCGTACACACTGCTCCGTTCCACTTTTCTCAAAAGTCCTTTACTATTTTGGAAAAATTGTTTCTTTTATGAAAAATTCTCTCAAATCCTCAGTTTGAGTTCAGATACACCCGGAGGTGTATCCGAGTCTCTCAAACCAAGGCTCTGATACCAACTTGTAACGACGTAAATTACCAAAACAATTTTTCATTTTAAAAACATACTCTCATTCATAAAATATCATAGTAATCCAATGTAACACATGTTATCTCAATAAACAAATCCCAAGATCCTCAAATACATAAATCCTCTCAGTGTGTACGGATCATGCCAGCGCCTTCCCGCGATCCTCGCTAGTACCTGAAACACATAACACAACAACTGTAAGCATAAATGCTTAGTGAGTTCCCCAAAATACCACATGCAACACATACGCCACTCGAGGCTACAATACGACCCTCCGGTCGATGTGTCTCAGCGGGACCCTCCAGTCCCGTAGCTCGTTGGACCCTCTGGTCCGATCATAGCTCGTCGGACCCTTCGGTCCAGTCTGTGTTGTTGGACCCTTCGGTCCGGTCTATATCGTTGGGCCCTCCGGCCCGGTCTGTTCAACACATAGCATACATACAACACAGTGCACATAACTCATATATATACACATAGCATACAAGACCCTCTGGTCTACACATAAATACCACTCTAGGTAATGTATAGTGAGAAGACTCACCTCAATGAAGTCGGATAAACTCTCGTGCTCAACGTCCCGACTTAGCCTCCTCCTATTATTCAGATAACATCCCCGATCAATATTCACTCATGATCTCATCTCTACAGATTGGGTAGAAGGCCATTCTACCCTTCCCTGAACTCTCCTGAATCAGTCTTGACCAGAACCCTAAAGTCAACGAAAGTCAACGATCAACTTTGACCCGACTCGTCGAGTGCACAAGGGCGACTCGGCGAGTCCATGCGGGTCCTCTGAATCCTTTCAGCCTCTCTTGGCTCGTCGAGTCATCCTTCCACTCGACGGGTTACACCTGTCACGAATCGCGGGGCAACCCCGACTCGACTCGTCGAGTCTACTTATGGACTCGGCGAGTTGCCTCCATGTTCATCCTCAAATGACCTCCTAAGGTCAGATCTGCTTCCCTAACTATCAGATCTACCCTTCAAATGTTCAAATGTCACGTAAAGGTGCAACCTTTACGTGCATGCAACCCACAACAAGTCATAAATGGAGAAATAACTCTAAAAATGGCAACCTAGTCCCCAATCTTTCATTTGCTTGCATAAAGCTGAGGGATAGTGACTCTATGGATCTCTCATGGTCCAGATCTGATGCTATTAACACATGGATCTCTCATACTCACTAGATCTTACATAAAATGGAGGTAAAAACCCTAAAATCATGAAATCTATCATATCAACACGAAATAGAAGGGATTATACCTCCAGAGATGAACTCTCAAGATGATTAGCCCAGATCCAAGCTCCCTTCACGCTCTAGATGGGTGTTTCCTTCTTCCTTCTAGCAAAACTACACCAAAAGTGATGTATTAGCCTCTTCTTGCTCTCAACTCTCTCACTGCTCTCTCTCTAGGGTTTCTCTGGGGTGCATTGGCCGCAAATGGAGGCCAGAAAGACCTTTAAATAGGGCACAGGCCCGAGGATTTAGAGTTTCACTTTACAGCGCGGACTCGCCGAGTCCACGTATCTACTCGTCGAGTCCGGTCATTAATCCAGTCAAGAACTCACGATCCTACTCGGCGAGTCTGAGCGTCCACTCGCCGAGTCCCTCCATAAAACCCAAAATAAATAACTAAAATAAGATACCTGGGAATCCGGATGTTACACTTGCCACAGTCCACGTAGGCGTCATGACAACTTTGTCGCACTTTAGCCAAAATTTACCATTTACATGGTGTGGGTTGCCATATTTGTCATGATAGTTTTTTTTTTAAATTAATTAATATAAAAAATAATCAAAAGATCAAGTTTTGTAGGTTTATAATAATAATAATAATAATAATAATAATAATAAATCGATTTATTTAATATAAATAAGTTTTATAAGTTCATGTGGGTATTATGCAATTTCCTAAAGTCAATTTCGAAAAATTATTTCTACTCTAGGGTAGGATATGTTATTAATTTTCTTCCTTCAAAAAAAAAGCATACATAGCAACCACTATTTTAACCCTTCATAAATATTCAAACACAATACCTTTTCTTTCTCATCGGCGAGTTTCCACCGAGTTGTCGAGCCGAATCGGCATGCCGAGGGCTCGGCCCCGTGTTCGCCGAGCTAGCCGTGGTCATTGCCGAAACCACACCGTCCAGCCTAATAGAGGGGCTGTTAACCATATGAAAAGGACGAAAATACCATTTTGTCATTGCCATTGCTTCCACCACCACTCACCAACCACCACCATCCACCTACCACCATAACTTCAAGGCTTCCCCATATTAACAACAGCGACACATGAAGATACCCACTATTTAACACAAATATCTCTTCCACTCCACTTGCTTCTATTTCGTCTTTGTATCCAATTATTCCAACGAATAAGGGAAATTATGATGATTCGAGTCAAACATAATCGATTTTCAATTAGTGGGTCTCATTTTTTGTCGGCCAGTAACACTATATGCCCACCATTATTATAAAAACTCCATCGGAGGAGCTTTAATTGAAACTTGGATTTCATCGAAGCTTTTGATATGGTCTAAATGAAATTCTAGATATAAAAAAAGGATAGTTTCTCAAAACCCTAGTATCCTTCATGATCATTATGGGTAAGATCTAAACTTGGGGTTTCCATCCGCTAACAATTTCAAGAATGTTTCTGACTTTATCCAAATACCAAACTTTGATGCCACCAGAAATACAAATTCTTCGGCTTCCATCATCAGTAGCATAACAACTACTGTATTGGCTTCAACTCAGCTTTCAGCTTTGGAGCTCTTGACTGGAATCACATCAAGGGGTACAATGAATTGCTTGTTGCCGATTCCGATCCCTGACCTTAATTTCGTTTATTCACAGTCGGGGCAGTTGATGATTCCCATGCCGGAATTCAAGATTCCGCCGCTTAGCTTTTCTTTGGATGGAATGGCGAGTAGTGGCAATGGCGACGCATATGGGAATAGTATTGACGACAATACGGATCAGAGGCTTTTGTTCCCATTTGAAGAACTGAAAACAAACACACCAACAACACTTGATGATCAGCATGTTGCCTAAGATAGAGATAAGAATGGTGATTCCAATGGGTTCTGGAATGGAATGATGAGTGGAGGCTCTTGGTAAAGAAACATATATATATATATTATATATATATATATATATATATATATATATATATATATATATATATATTTCTTTAATAATAGTTTTACATTGAACGTGTTGGGATAATGGGATTTTTGGTCGTTTCTTTCTTTTAATATCTTGATTTTTCTAGTATGAAAATGGTGGTGGTGGTGTTGATCAGGACTTGTTTTGATTTCTTGAAAAACTAGCTTTGGTAGTAGGATCACAACTCGTTTCTCGTCAATAGCCATGGAAGCAATCAAAAATCAGAAAAAAATATAAAATAAAATATTGGGCATTTTTGTCTTTTTACATGGATATTAACTGTGGTTAACAGGGGTTAACGGTCCCAGGGACCAAGTTTGTTACCAAAACCCATTGTAGGGACTATTGGTGTTACTTTTCAAAAACTGGTTTTTATTATAAACTTTTAGCGATGGTTGGAGTTTAACATTGTTAAACTAATTAGGGGGTGTTTGGATTCCTTTTTAAGCTTCTGTGGAGCCCTAGTTTTAGTTTTAGGCGAAGAAACCCAAAACGCGACAGGGAGATATGTCATTCCTATGGGAGAAGAGCTCGTCGTGGCGATGGATAGTGAGGCAGACGAGAGATTCAAAGCCATTTTTCTTCGCCTTTGCGACTGTATGCGGCGTGGTCCCCGGTGCCATCGGCTATTGTGTGATGCAGCTCACCAATTCAAGCAATGAACAGCTCGAGTCTGAACTCCGCCGCAACGCTCGCCCCGATACCCTTGTTAGTACATCTCTCTCTCGCGACGAATTGTTATATGTTTTAGCATCAGAAAGAATAATTCATATACCCTTTCTCACTTGACATGTTATTGCCTTATAGATGCTCCCTTGATGAAGATCCTAGCATTTTAAGTAATTTATCTGTTAAATTTGATCGATCAACATACAATTTTAAAGGTGCTTTATGATTCTTCATCGGAATGGTAAGGCCAGGTCATCAGTGATCGTTATTCTTGTCAGCTAGGCTATTTCAATACAGCATTTTTATGCCACATACCTTGGATCGCCGACTATTAGTATTTCACCAGGTAGAAAGTTAAAAATGTAAAATCATAGGGTTTAGAGGATTTATGCAATCCAGATCAAATAAGGCACAGCCAATTATTATAAATTATATTATCTTCTGGACTATTATATAGCAAAATTCACAAATAGTGTTCTCCTTGTTGTCACACTTACTCTATAGCAATCTGTATGAGCAAATTGATAATTAATGCAAACACTAAAGATTTAATTTGCACAAAGTCACAAACAAATGCCTAATAAAAAAGAAAAATAGATAATAAGCGTTGATGTAAACTTTATACTATAACCATACAATTAAAATACGATATCAATATCATATCCAGAGCCCTATTCAATTCACACTTGCATGAGTTTAATCTTAACCCATGTACCTGTACTTATTATCAATATCCATCCCATTTATTTATACCTCAGCAACAAACAAAACCATCACTTCTAATATAAAACAGGCAACTTATATATAATATGATCATGACTTAATTAATTAATTAATTAAAGTAAGCTTCAAGTCAAGCTAAAACAAAGCATTTGCTTTCTCCATCAAATAGCTTCCTACATCTTACCACAAATTAAACTCATGATTCTAAATAATCCTTTTATTAATTAAATAAAATACATTAATTAATGACCCAAAATAATTAAGACCCGTTGTTTCCTTTTCCTTGGACAAGAATGTGAACTATCTTCGTCAGATTCAGTCACAATTCACAACACTCCATTCTCTCTCCTACACCACATATACAACAAAAAATGAAACATTTTGGAAGAAAGAAAAACTAATCATTATCATGAAACCCTGTTTCCAAAAATTAAATTGAATATTTTAGCATTATTTACAGGACAGGATATTGTGTTTCACTGGGACAACAATTGCAACTTTTTGTATGGGAAAAAGACGTGAATGCCCTCCTCCTCCTCCTAGTTAACATATGTAGCCTAAATGCAAAAAGAAGCAGAAAATACCGAGTTCCATGTGCCCATTTCTAACTTGGGAATCCGAGTCCCCATTTGGCACTGCTGTCATCTGGACTGTAAAAAAGTAAAAACATTGTTACTTCATTCCATCATTATACAAATTTTCTAGTATTACTAAAAGCCAAATGGAAGCAAAATATTGATACACAACACTAGAGAATAGAGAGTACCTTTGGACATCATATGTTGTAAGAAAATACTATCTTGCCCTCTATAGAGAATAGAGAGTACATATATATCATTGCTATACTTGTAATATGAACATGGATGTCTCAAGTTATTATTTTGAAAACCACATAGTTTTTTAGCAATCCCCTTTTATAAAAATAAAATATGCTCAAGAATCAAGAATGTATAGATACTTTGAAAAGCACATTGTTATGATAGTTGAAATTTTATAAATATGATTTGTCTCTGTTTCTTGCAATGTTTAAAAAAAAAATGGGGAATTTCTAAAAGAAAAGTTATTGTTTGGTGATGTGAATTCAGATGATGGGAAGAGTGAATAAAGAGAGACTTGGGGAGTACCTTGGGGAATTGCAGAGGAAGGAAGATACAAACGATAGATATGTTGCTGCTTTGAAGGGAGAGACTTTAACCAGAAAACCATATGTCAGAATTCAACCAACCACCACCACCACCACCACCACCACCACCACACCACATGTTTAAAAGCTTTTATCACATCATTATCATTATTATTACTCCGTATTATATTATCTCATTTTCCCAACTTTATGGCTTTATGCTCATCCGATGGCTTTGCATTAACAGAATTCATGACTTGATGTTCCCATGTTTCATAAGCTTGTTATATATTGTGACTAATTACCTTTTTTTTTTGTTGTTGCTGCTGTTAAGATGAATACAAGAAATAGCAATATGCCTTCGTTTCTTTGTTTACTGCAGCATCCTCCCTACTTTCATTTCTTTCTATTTCAACATTATACTTTGAAAAACTATCCTATTATTGCATTGCTCTTTTATTTATTTTTTTCTTAATAAAACATTCTACTTCGAAAAATCCCTCCAATTATCACAGTGAAATTTGCTTTGTAGACAAAATAATAAACAAATACATAATTTTTTTTATTATATTTTTGTGCTTAATTTTATATACGTTTCCTACATATGAATCGGGTCAACTATAATAACTTTCGTTCATTATCACTGCTTTCACCACCACAATCATCATTACCGGTCTTCCCCCTCTGTCTTTCCACCATTTAAACACAACACACATACATCTTATACACACATCATTAGAGAAATCAATTCCTTCCACAACCCCTGATATTTGGTTATGGTTCGTTTTCTTCCAGATCTGGTACTATTCTGATTTGGTACTGTAGATCTGTTGCTGTTCAGTTTTGCTACCTGTTCTGATTTGCACTACTCCGATTTGGCACTGTTGAGCTGAAACTGTTCCCATTTGGTACCTTAGATATGATACTTCGTATCTTCTTCCAACACCACTTGGAGTTCTGACCTGATTCCTAAAGAGATCAAAAAATGACGGAGGGTGGTCAAGAAATTCGTGTTTGGTTCCAATACTATAACTAAAATTCCTATTACGAGTTTTGGTTCTGTTGCTTTATCAGCGGAAGAATATGCTCGATTTTTGGGATATGGATATTCACATTTGCCGGTTGCCGTTGTTGCTGAGACAAGCAATTCTAGTAAATGTTTGTATCTTCTGCCTCCAAATGGGTTATTGATACTGGTGCTTCGGATCACATGACCGGTAATCCTAATGTCCTCTCTAACTTTCACACTCATGCATCTACATCTCATGTTACCATTGCTGTCGGGTCTACCCCTCGAGTTTTAGGATCTGGCAATGTTAATCTTGCCCCATCTATTTCATTATCTTGTGTGTTAAGCTTACCTAAATTTTCATTTAATTTGCTATCGGTCAACAAAATTACTTGTGGGTTGAATTGTAGTGTCAAGTTTTTTATTTTTATTTATTTATTATTTTTTTTCTTCCGGATTATTGTATCTTCAAAAGTCTTTCAACGAAGCAAATAATTGGTAAAGGACGAGAATCCGGTGGGCTTTATGTATTTGAACCCGAAGTACCGAAATCCCTAGTAGGATTGAAATCATTATCTCTATTCGAATTACATTGTCGTTTAGGTCACCTATCTCTTCAAGTTTGGAAGAAATTATATCCCCAATTTAGTGATCTTTCATCACTAGATTATGAATCGTTTCGGTTTGCTAAACATCAACGTGTTCCTTTGAGCCTTAGAGCTAATAAACGTGCTGCAACCCCATTTGAATTAGTTCACTTTGATGTATGTGTAAGATTAATAGGCATAATCCAAGATCAATTTATACATAATCATCAAGAACCCTAAATGAATTAAAGAGCACTTACTTGGAGAAGATTATATCTCTTGATGTTGAACTTTATATTATGATTCTTCAACTTCACATAATGGTGTCTAATTGATTGATTCTGATGGATAGAATGATACACACGATAATGGTGTTCTTATAGAGACGATTTTGGATGTGGAAAATAAAGAACCGTGTTCTCTCCATGAAACGTACGTCCTATCATATGTGTGTTTTAATTGATCATTTACACCTTATGGAAAGTATTAGAACCACACAAATTTAGTCCCTCAAGTTATGGATAAATGTCATATCCATCATACTACATATAATTAATCCTAGGGACCTGATATGTTATTATGGAAAACATTATAGTACACGATATAAATGTATGTAATATGTAATGGATATTACAAAATAGTCCTAAGGCCATACTAATATGTTATTTTCCAACATTCTCCCACTTGGCCGAGTGACTATTTGTATACATGTTTCATTATTTGGCCAATATAATTTCATCATGTTTCATATTAATATCAAAAGCAGAAAAGTACAGCCTTGCGCATCCATTTTAGATACGGGACCCCCACCTATCATACTATGATACTTTATATGAACTTTAAGATTAATTTAAGCCAAATGACTTTAGATTTAAGTGGTCATGCATTATATTTGTCTATATAAAACGTAATTGTGCACAAGTTATTAATATAGACAAATTGCATATTATGGAGGAATAATAATCAAGTACTTGAATAAATAAAGTTAAAAGTTACATTAAAGCACTATGCTAGAATTACATAATAAGGTATAACTTTAAACCCATATTGACGATATGTTCAAATAATTGGGTGGTAGACCTTTCGTTATTGGATCCGCTAGCATATTATTAGTGTTAATGTGTTCGATACAAATATTATTACCCCCGCTTGCTCTAACGAACAATTATATTGTATCGAGGTAAAACATCATTCCACTATAATTATTGTTAATGGAAAACTTATTTAGGCAACATTATAGAAGTAAGTTTTCTTTTAATGGCCTATAAATAGAGTTTATGATCATGAGTCATGTGATTTAATTTCTCAACAACATTTCATGGAATGTTTCATTATCTATGAAAACAAATTTCTCCATCATAGTTGATATAGCCGTCAATTTTTATTTATGACTCTCCCATGATATTGGCCGACTAACATATCAATTATATGTTAATACTTATTTCACTAAACAAGTTTGTCATTATTAGTCCCATGATCGACTGATGATACCTCTAATACAACAAATGTCGAGGCTCCAACTTCCCATACTGAGCTCTCGGATCTTGATCTTCCTATAGCTCTTCGGAAAGGTCAACGTTCTTGTACTTACCCTATTGCTTCATATGTCTCTTATGATAAGCTCTCTACATCTTCCCATTCATTGGTGGCAACATTAGACTCTATATCGATCCTAAAAACTGTTGGTGAAGCTTTAGCCCACCCCGGACGCTGTGCTGTTATGATTGACGAAATGAATGCCCTTGAGCACAATGACACATGGAGTTTGGTCGAGTTACTTGTTCATAAAAAGGCGATTGGTTGCAAATGGGTGTTTACTGTAAAGGTTAATCCACATGGATCAGGGGCTCGTTTAAATGGATGATTAGTTGCTAAAGGTTATGCTCAGACTTATGGAGTGGATTACACCGAGAATTTTTCTAATGTAGCCAAATTATCCTCTGTGTGTCTCTTTATTTCTCTAGCTGCTACTTATGCTTGGGCACTTCATCAACTTGATGTCAAAAATGCATTTCCTCATGGTGATTTACAAGAGGAAGTTTACATGGAGCAACCACCGAGATTTGTTTCTCAGGGGAGTACGGTAAAGTCTGCAGACTAAGAAAATCTTTGTATGGCTTAAAACAATCTCATCGTGCTTGGTTTGGTCGATTTAGTATTGTGGTTACTAAATTTGGATTATGAAGGAGCTTATATGATCATTCGGTTTTCTTTGGTTCATCTACCTCTAGTTGTATTTTATTGGTTGTATATGTTGATGATATAGTGATTATTGGGAGTGATGAGACTGAGATTAAGAATTTGAAAGTGTTTCTTGGATCTGACTTTCGGACTAAGGACTTAGGCCCTTTGAAATATTTTTTGGGGATGGAGGTCTCCCACTCTCGGAAAGGAATTTGTTTGTCTCAACGAAAATATTGTTTAGACGTATTGAATGAATCAATATTGATTAATGCAAGACCTTTGATTCCTTTATGACACCGAATGTGAAATTGAAAGCAGATGATAGAGACCCAATTGAAAATCCAGAAAAATAAAGAAGAATTGTTGCGAAGTTAAATTATCTTACGATTACTCGCCCGGACAATGCTTTTCCGGTAAGTGTTGTAAGCCAGTTTATGTCATCACCAAGGGTTGCACATTGGGACAATGTCATTCACATCTTAAAGTATCTAAAGGGTACTCCAGGTCGTGGTATTTTGTATCAAAATCATAGTCATCATGTGGTAGAAGGGTTTACAGATGCTGACTACAATGGTGACCAAAAAAGTAGGCGGTCAACTACCGGGTATTGTGTCTTTATCGGAGGAAATCTTGTTTCTTGGAAGAGTAAGAAGCAAAATGTAGTTTCTCGTCCGAGTGCAGAGTCCGAGTATAGATCTATGGCACAGACAACTTACGAACTCGTGTGGTTGTGTAATCTACTTGGTGAGATTGGTTTTCCTCAATCAAAACCAATGACTCTATGGTGTGATAATGAGGTTGCCATTCATATTGCCAACAATCCAATATTTCATGAGAGAACTAAACACATAGAAATGAATTGAAAAATAGAAAATGGAACGATCACAACTTCTCATGTCAAGACAAGGGGTCAACTAGCTAATGTGTTCACCAAAGCGTTAGTTGGGAGCAGAATTAATTATTTTTGTAACAAGATGGGCATGATCAATATCTATGCTCCAGATTGAGGGGGGTGTTAGAATGTGTGTGTGTGTGTATATATATATATATATATATATATATATATATATATGTAGAATAGGGTTCTAGTTCTTTTTAAGTAGCTTTTTGTTCATTTCCTTTCTTAGTATGTAGTTTTTGTGTGTGTATATATATATATATATATATATATATATATATATATATATATATATATATATATGGGCTTTAAACTCTTTATCAAGGTAAGAAAGTATTTCATAAATCTAGTCTTTTACACCTTCGAACTTCCTTCCCCGAGACCTCTTATTGTCGCTCTTTTGAGATCTCCATGGTTGTGAGGTTCCTTGCTGACTCTTCCCTTTGTCAGCATTTTTGTATCTTTCTTTAGAAGGTGGCTTGAAATTCCTCCGACTTTTACTTGTGTAGAACGCCTTCTCTTCACTCTTCAGCGTGATGCCTCCTATTTGCTTAGCCATAGCTTCTTGGCTGGCTAGCAAATTCTCAAACTCTATAAGTGATAGTTGAACAGGCCATCATTGTACAACAGTAACAAAACTTCTATATTCTGGCCTTAGTCCATGGATGATGATCCTTTTCATTCG